CGGCCACCTTTGCTTACGATAATTCAGCTTCCTAGCTTTGCTTAAGATGAGGTACATTCCAGACCATAGCGGTTTTCTAAAGAGTAGGCTCTAGCAGAATTAGTTCAAACTCTTACATGGTAATTCTAAGCCGGATTCGGATTAGTTTTGGATACGAGCATGCTTAATTTATTCCAATTGTGTATTATATATTTAGAGGATTATGTTTGATAGTCATGTCTGAATAAGTTGGACACTAATACTTTTAGAAATTGAAGAGCTGGGATAATATAGCTTGAGCTCATTGTCTTTCTATAATGGTCAATAGAAAGGCAGTGGATATACCTTCCCATTGCAGGCTGAATAAAAAATATGAATTTTTTGTTTAATATTTCTTAGGGTAAACTGCTCAAATGACCACTTAACTATGTGGTTGGTGTCGATATGACCTTCTTAATTTCATATTACCAAAATTAAAAGTATGACGGTTATATCGACACCAACCCCATAGCTAAGTTGTCATTTTAGTAGTTTGTCCTATTTCTTATTATATTCGAATTCATTAATTATAGGTTTGTTATTTGATATTGCTACCCCAATACACATTCAACCCAAGCGAGCAGTATCTGCTAAAATATTTGCATTTATTAAAAAAACTAAATAAAAAATCAAATATATGAATTTGATATAACTTTTAATTAAAAAACTAAATAAAAATCTTGAAAGGAAGCTATAGTAGCCTCATTGTAAAATGATGTCTATTCATGGTCTGATCTCAGGAGCTTTTGTTAACTTTTAATTAACTGATGCTGCAGAGTGATAACCGGGGTTTGACTGAACGTAAAAGTGAACATAAGGGTAAATTCTATCTGGTCTACACATAGATCATGAAAATTCTTTAACATAAAGAATTACTAGTAACTAACACTGTGTGTTTGATTGGTTCTGTTGTTCAGATGTGGTTCATATCTATCCATAAAAAAACAGCATATTAGTTTAAACTAAAAATAACAAAATTAATAAAAATCTTCAATTATATAATCAAATAAGAGTGCAAGAAAGCCATCTATTTATAGCTTCTGTTCTTTGATGGGGGGGAAAAGTTAAAGAGTGCAAGAGAATCAATTTTGTTGGCAAAAACAGCAAGCATTAATGGCGGTTAAATTAATGCTTTTCGTGGTTGTTTTTCTCTATTATCATGTTATAAAGAAAAAGACACATCGATAATGTGACCATTAAATGAAAAAATTAAAAAAAATATAAATTCAAATATATGTTGTATGCAAATACCTTGGAAAATTAGCCAAACAATAAAATGACCCCTAAATTTTTAATATGTTTTAAGTAAATCTTAAACTAATTACCTTGGAATGATTTTTTGCTTCAGACATTGTGCACATCTCACTAATATTAGATTCTTGGCAATGGAAATTGTTCTCTTTATCTTATCACTAGTATTCCCTAATTGTTAACCTTGTTAGGTCTATTTATATTCTATTTAGCAATTGACATTTGACATGGATATTCCAAAAATACGAAATGGATAAGAGTTAGATGGATTTGTCAAAGGTAAATGACGAGTATCGAACTAGAGTATAAACTTTTCTAAATTTAGCTTTTGTAAATGCAAGTCAGGAGAATCAAATTATTTGCCCTTGTAAGAAGTGTGATTACACGAATTGGAACATTTGGGAAGTTGCCTACGAGCATCTAATTGTTTTTGATTTTGTTTGGGGCTATAAAAGACGGATATTCCACGGAGAGTGTACACCTCATAGATCTTCTTTCAGTAGTAATTAAACTTATCCTCCTAATTCTCATCATCGATATGTCAGAGAAGATGACATGGAGGGTATGTTGCGGGATGCATTTAATATGCACAGTATCATCAATCTGTTAGAGAAGATAATTGTGATATGTGTGTTATTGATTTTACCGAGATAGGAAGAAGTGGATGTGATGAAGAGCCAAATGGAGAAGCGACAAAGTTTAATAAGTTGCTTGATGAGATGAGTGAACAAATTTATGAGGGATTGAAATATTCAAAACTCTCATTTTGCATTCGTCTTTTCCACTTAAAATGCTTTGGAGGGTGGACTGGTAACTCTTTTACACAATTATTAGAGTTTATGAGAGAAATGTTTCCTTTTGCAAAAATTCCACAATCATGCAAAGATATGAAGAAAATGATAAAGGATTTGGACATCGGTTATGAGAAAATTCATAGTTGTCTGAATGATTATATGTTGTATTGCGGTGATAGAAAAAATCAGGAGTCCTGTCATGTATGCGGAAAATCTCGGTGGATGAATGTAGGGGCATAAAATGTGAGTGAGAACAAAGTTGAAGTACGATCAAGAAAGAAGTCAATAAAGATTTTGCGGTATTTTCCTCTAATACCTAGGCTTCAAAGACCTTTTATGTCTTGAAAGACTGTTGAGTCTACGAGGTGGCATCATAATTGATGAACCAATGACATGTTATTAAGGCATCCTACAAATTGTTTAGCATGGAAGTCATTTGACAAAAAAAATTCCAAGTTTTGCAAAAGATCCTCGAAATGTGAGGCTCGATCTTGCATCTGATGGATTTAATCCTTTTAAAATCATGAATATTCCATATAGTACTTGGCATGTTCTGCTTATTCTGAACAATTTGCCTTCGTGGATTTGCATGAAACAATCACCTTCATAAAGTACTTGGCCTGCTCTGCTTATTCCGTACAACTTCCTCCGTACAATTTGCCTTCGTGGATTTACATGAAACGCCGCTAAATTTGCTAACCTTTTGCGATGTTTGTAAACAAAACACCACTAAATGTCCCAACCTATTATGGTTTTTTTTATTTACAAACACCACTAATATTTGCGACATTCGTTATATCGGCAGTTTTTGTGCCGAGAAGCTTTTTTGTGACGTTTAAAAAACACCGCTATAGGACTAAAAAAGACGCCATTGAACAATTTTATTGTAGTGAAATGACTTACAAATGGTATAAGGAAGTTGTGAATGTGTTACCTTGGTGTTCTAGTTGTTGGAAACTCTCACAAAATCAACCAAGGGTCAATTTCTCTTTTTCCCTTGCCTTGGAGCTTTCTCCCACCTCTTTTACTAATCAAAGACAAAGTAAATGAGTTACCAAATTATTTAGAAGCATGGATCGAAGTTAAGAACACTTGATATAACTTAAATCCACTAAAAACAAGCTAGAATCACTTGATTCTCTTAAACCTCCTTAAAACCCTTTATTGGATCCTATGCATAAAACTTGAAATATGGGGCTTAAATTGAAGCTCTTGGAATGGAGATTAATATTCTTACCTTTGATAAACTCAACTAGGCTTGAATTTCTTAAAGCTTTCATCTTTGTACAAACCTTGAAGATGAAGAAGAAGAGAGAAAAAATAAAGAGAAGAGGAAGAGTGTTTGGTGAGTAAGGGTACACGTGAAAGCATCAAACTTTTAAAGGTTTTCAGCTTTTAATTTCAACAAGGGGTAAATCACACTTTCAGTCCTCCTTCAATCCTCCTAATATTAAAATGGTCTCCAATTCTAAATCACTTGGGCCTAACTCAAGCCTATTTCGAACTCAATTTAGTCCAAGCTATTTTATAAGTCTATTAGGCTCAATTTATTAAGTCTCGAGTTAGCCCAAACTACTAACCCGAGATTCGGGCGTTACAACTAAAATACTGGGAGATTTACATGCTTACATAGTTACACTGGTGTAAGTATGTGCTTATTTTTAGGTTGGAAGATGTACATACTTACATTGGCATAAGTATGTGTTAATTGCTACACTTTTTCTATATATGCTACATGTATGAGTTGACAAGAAAATATGATATCAAATTATATGATAAAATTAATGGAAAATATTTATATTATATAATATGAAAACATTTTATGAAAAGTAGTCCTAAATAATACATGTAATTAAAAATATACAAAAAAACAAAATATGAATCGAACACATATGTAAAAATAATTAAAATAAAATAAAATTTTGATATATTTTTATTTTACTTTTTATTTTATATGCATCATATTATTTTATAATAAGTATTACAAATTCCTAAACCATTAAAAATAAATAAAATAGATTCATACTCGTGTAATTATATACAAAAGAAAGGATCATTTTAAAATAATTATATTACTTCAGGGGTATTATTGTCCAAAAGAGAAAAAATTGTCTAATACTTAAGAAAACATAAGAAATGAGATTCCTGGAAATGCAAGGGGGAAAAAACACTGTAGGCAATGTTTCATTATCTTCGGTGAGAATGTTTTTGAACCAAACGTTTCTTGATCCAAATGCCCTTTTAAGGATAAAAATATCATTTCACTCAAAAGGGATTTTCCACAGCAAAATCTATAAATTTAAACTTTTGAGGTTAGGTTGAAAATCACTCTTTCAACCTTAATTTTAAATAAATTTTTGGTGTTTAACTCATTTTTTTATTACGATTAAAAATTCCAAACTGAAAATAGAAACTAATTTAAACTCCATTTTTGATCTTAAACGGTTATTATAAATTTAAGTTTTATAATTAAAAACCAATAAATAATTTATTGTTTAATAAAATTAAATTTATGAAGTAATAAATTTTTACAACGGACCATATTAATATTTGAATTTACGACTTTGATGAGACTTAAACAATTAGCATAAATCTATTAAAAAATAATTAGCATAAATATTCTCACAAAATGTTAAAAACTAGAGAGGGACACAGATTGCTTTCTAATAATTTTCAAATATTCCCATAAAGGAAAAAGGAGCTGTAAAGGCTTGTAACTTAACTAAATTTGTATTTATATTTTGTATTTGGACTACATTTATATTTATAATTTATGTTTACATATGGGGCGGAGAAGGAAATCCCATTGAAATAATATAATGGCAAAAGACTACATCGATCGTAGTTGTTATTCATAGAACATCCGATTGAGATACTGAAAAATCAAACAAAATCAACCTAAAATAGACGTCTTTCGCCTGCTTAATAAATTAGCCTTCAATGAGTTTCCAACCGGCTGCTTCCTTGCAAACTAACGGATCTCCTAGTGACCGTATGAGTCTCATTCTGACGACCACTGCCATCTTCGCCGGAAATTTCTTCTAAAGACCGCCCTTTGGTTTCCGGTATCAGGAAAGTGAAACCAAATCCCAACATATTTGTGAAGGCCAAGATTATGAGGGCGGTCTTGATGTGGTTAACATTGTCATCCAACGTATATGTTTGAACCACGAAAGCCCCAATCATGGCTCCCGCCTTCCCCGCCGCCGCACTGAGCGCATGGTAGGTCGACCGCAGCCTTGTAGGGAATAGCTCCGCCGGGAGCACAAATGTGGTACTGTTGGGTCCAAAGTTGGCAAAAAAGAACGTCAACCCATACAGAAGAAAAAATGACATCATGAAGAAGCCGACTAGTTGGATTGTAAATCGGCCAAGCTTTACTATGAAAAGGAAGGTGAACCAGTAGCCCGGGAATGTGCCGAGCATAGCGATGAAGAACATGGCGCGTGAGGTATCCAAGACTTCTTCAATGGCGTTGATTTGAGGAGCATTTTTAGTTAGACCCATAGCCGGAAAAATGTCCTTTTGGGTTAGGTTTTGACTGTAGAAAGCAATATCCAGCAAGAACCATGTGGTCATCGTACCTATCAAATGACGCCCATGCCAATCGTAGAATTCCTGAGATAATAACGGGTACTTGTTTGCTTCCTTGAATTGAGAAACCTTGTCTGTTTCAACTTGGAATTCAATGTCAAGAACCCCACCCATATCAGCCGCCGTTTGTTTCGCATTCCCTTCGATAATGGCAGTGTAGCGACCGGTTTCTGGCATCTTCATCCGCCAATAATACGTTAAGAGAGCCGGTAAGGCACCGAACATCAGCACAATCCGCCATAGATAATCTGCCTCGGGTTGGGTTGAGAAGATAGGGTCAACGTTGAATGACGACGCTGGGTACAGCTCAAGGAATATTGCCGAAAGACACATAGAAACTAAACCTGCAAATATAATCCCTACCCCTTGCATGGCAAACATGGCTGCGATGAACGGCCCTCGAGTTTTCTTGTTAGCATATTCGGAAATAATTGTGGCGGAAAGTGGGTAGTCTCCACCAATGCCAAAGCCCAACCAAAACCTGAAAAAACAAAGGGTTCCAATCAGAGATCCGGAGGAGGATCCAAATGACAAACCAGAGCAAATGGCGCAAACCACCATGACGAGAAGAGTGATCCCATACACCTTTTTACAACCTAGTTTATCACCAAGCCAACCGAACACTAGCTGCCCACTTAGAGTTCCAAACAAGGCAACACCGGTAACCATGTTGTTAATGCCATTAGGGAGCTTTCCTGGCTTCAATGGATTCTGAGGATCGTAGTAATACAGTCGGCCCAAGAGTTTGGCCACAGTCGTGATGCAAAACAGATCATATGCATCCTTAAAGAAACCCATACCCGCTATCACTATAGCTTTCACATGGTACCACTGTGTTCTGGCCGTGTCAAGAGCCTGAAGCACCGATAGATATTTTCGGACGCAATTCTTCTCTTTTCTTTTTCTGAGCTTTGCTTATCAGCACCTTCTGGTTGCAGATTTTGCGTCTTAGCTGACTCATTTTATACGGGACTGTCTTAACCATGCAAAATATAAGGCTACAAACGTTGATACCAAGGGTTTGGGGTTAAAACAAGAAAGTGCACAGGAATCTGAAGGATATTCTACCACACTTGTATGACAGGAATTTGGGAATATACTGTTGAAATAGAACTGTTTATCTAGGATTTTGCTATCAATAATTCTTTTTCTTAATAGCAGCATATAATAATTATAAGATAATATATATTTAAAAATATTTTTTAATCATTAACAATGTATATAACTTACTGATAGTAGTTATTTAAATCTAAAACTTTTATAAAAAACAATACAATTTTAGATTACTAAATCCACTAAATAAAATAAATGATCGAAACATGATTTAATAATTAAATAAAAAATTTACCTATAACTCTACAGCTGCATCACTACTACCGTACGCTTTCTTTGATTTCTTTACCTACACAAAAACTAGTATATAAATTGAGTTAATTCTGTCATATGCTCTTATATTATAACTCTCATTTTAAATTGGTCTTTAAACTTTTAAAATATTCTAATTTCATTCCTAAATTATGACCCTCATTCAAAATTAGTCCTCAACTTTTGAATATTCTAATTTCATCCCCAAATTCATTCAAATATATAATTACTTTTAATCATAGTTTAAATTTTATTTTTTCAAACATTTAATATTATAACTTGTCCTAACGATTGTATTAACAAGGATGTGATTATTATATACATATAGTTTGGGATGAAATTAGAATATTCAAAAAGTTTAGGGACCAATTTAGAATGAAGGTCATAGTTTGGGGGTGAAATTGACATGTTCAAAAATTTGAGAAATTATTTAGAATAATAGTCATAGTATAAGGATGAAATTAGAATATTTAAAATTTTAAGGACTAACTTAAAATGTGGGTCATACTTTAAGGATATATGATGCAATTAACTCATAAAATTATATTTCACATACTATCGATTATGGAATTCATATGGGTAAATTACACCATTCCTTACTAAATTTTACTCTCTCTCCTATTTTACTTACTATACTTTCAATCTTTCTAATTTACTCACTAAGTTCAAATCCGAGCTGAGTCCAAATCCGACCTTCATTTTGTCAGAACTTGCTCCGAATTCCGTGGAAGTGGAGATCAAAAGTGAGGAAGTTGAAATGTTTCAGTCGAGATTTACGGGTGTTGGGACATTTTCCAGTGAAACAACCACTAGATTCAAACTCACGGGATCGAGGCGAACCGACACATGAAATTTGGGATAAAATGACTGCCATCTACGACGGTCAACGACGTCTGACAGTGGCGTCCACTCACATTCTATTTTTTTTAATATTTTAAATTATTTTATATTAAATAATAATAATAAAGGTCACATCATATGAAAATAATAATAAAATAATTCAGAGTGATCAAAATAAGAACGGTTCGAAAATTTAGTGAATTAATTAGAAAAATTGAAAGTACAATGAGTAAAATAAGAAAGAGAGAATAAATTCAATGACGAATGATGTATTTTACCCAATTCATATCTAGTAAAAAAATTCATGTAATTATAGTTAACTATGGAGTGCTATACTTTTTGGATAGGTTACATCATTGAAAAAAATAAATTTAATCATCGATTTTTTTTATTAACTGATCACCGTTATTTACTTCCATTTTCATTTTGTCACTTAGACAAATTTTAATTAGTAACGTGTGTCCTCATATTGTGGTGACATATGGTCTTAACTAATTGGTTGGGGAAAAAAATTAAAAGAATAAGGTCATATGATTACACTTAGATTCAAATTCAAGTCCCCTAGATAAGCCAAATTGTTTAACCACTACATCAATATATTACATTTGCTGAATAGTTTGAGAATATAAATTTTAGGCTAAACTACATATTTGATATCATACTTATTTTCATGTTTCTGTTTTGATAATCTAACTTTTGTTTTTGACAAAATCATATATCACGTTACGTTTTGTTTTTGTTTTTGTCACTTGTTGCTAATTTTTTTATTATTGATTTAATAAAAAAAAGTATGACGTAATCTGGTATAATTATAATTTTAATTCTTAAAAATTATATATTCTATTAATTTGATCTTTATTTATATTATAATATATTTAAAATTAAGAAAAGTAAAATGTCATCAAGGGAAATAAAATCTAAGACTTTAAAGATACAAACACAACACCAGGTCTTTGAACCAGCTTCTACATTTGATTCATTTTTTACCAAACTTATATTTATGTTAAAAACTAGAAGTTATGAAATTATATTTTTATCAAATGGTGTTGAAACTATTTGTAGATATTGCCCCCTGACTCGAATGTATAAATTTATTAAATTGGGTACAAAAAAATAAGGTAAAAAGGCATCAGATGTCCCTGTATTTTTGAAAAAAATAAAGTGCCTCTCGTATTAGTTTCTCTCTCAATGTAGCCCTCCAACTCAGAAAATAAACTCAAGGTGGCCATTTGAAAAATGTTTTTCGTCGTTTGACTGATACAATGTTGACGTGGCATTTCACAGTGCTGACATGGTGGTCCACGATATTGATGTGATAGTCCATCTACCATGTTTGAGTTACCAATTTAGTCGAGCTGCCATGTTATCCGTCACGTTATCAACCATCGTGGACTACCATATCAACACCATGGATCGCCACATCAACACCGTTAAAGGCCTCGTCAACATTGTAATAGTCAACGATGAAAAACATTGATCAAAAGGCCACATTAGGCTTAGTTTCTAAATTGGAGAACCATATTGAGAGAAAAATAAATACAAGGGTCACATTAGTTTTTCTAAAAGTATGGGAACCTCTTATACCATTTTACCAAAAAAAATAATTTTTAACGATGAGTTTTGTATAATTTAGTGGTGCACAACTACGTTGGTTTTTTTACCCCAATAATTCAAGCGGGCGAATTATTTAGCCCAATAGGGTACTCGAAATTTTAATTTAGGATCTACGGCAAATGATACAGTGTCTATGGAACTCGTCATATCGACGTGACATGTTCCATGGTATATTTTTTTTAATGGGCCGTGTCATCTTAAGTGACTCGTCACACCGACGTGACGAGCTTCAACAGGTATAATTTTGAATTTGTTGACTGTTGGTTTGACCGTTGTTGAACGATCAAAATTTTTTTAAAAATTCAATGGAACTCGTCACGCCGATGTGACGAGCCTCAACGGCTATTTTCAATTTGAAAAAACTAGTTGTTTATAGCCGTTGGGTAGAGTAGTATAAATAGAGGTTTGGGTTAGATTGATTTTTCACTTGGATTCAATCATTATATTGAGAGTAAAAACTCATGTGCTAAAATGGCCTCAAGAGAAGAAATGTTATGTCTTGATGATCTTCATATTTCATCAACCGATTTGACTACGGTAAATTTAATTTGTTTAATTTTATTTTAGTTTTGACAAAATTATAGTATTAATAATAATTATTTGTGTAATTGTATTAAATAATTTATTTTCAAATTGTAGCGAGAAGAATGAGCCATTCGTCATCGAGGAATGACGAATGAAGAGTCACATAAGCGGATGATGATATATCTTTCACAATTCGGATTATATGGAGCGACATTTCTTCACGTATTTAAGGTGATGTCGGCACTGATATCAGTGTTGATTGAGAGTTGGAGGCCCGAAACACATACGTTTCATTTTCCTTGTGGTGAAGTGACGATAACATTGGAAGATAACGTGTATCAACTTGGTGTTCTTATTAATGGTATGTCGTTGGTGCTTCGCAACACTTACTCGCGAAATACTGTTATTTCAAATTTATTAGGAAAGGAGGCTCTAGCCGATGTCATGAATGGGTTGCAGATATGAATTGTAACACCCATCTCCCGTATACCCTTTCGTACACGAGATATGGATGTCACATCACTTTAAAATTATTTTGGGCATTTGAAAAACCGTATAATTGTTTTCAATTTTTAACAACTTCAGAGTATGATATTCATATAAATAAAATACTAAAACTATCAATTTAAATACATTACAAAATATTTAATTTAGTTCCATTACATGCCAACTAAGTTTTCAAAAAGAATAAGATTGTCTTAACGTTACTGACGAGTCAACCCTTTAATTGATGAAAGTTGCTGCTACTGATGCACTCCTTACGCAACTAATATTTTCCTTTACCTACGCGTGAAATCAACACACGTTAAGTATTTAATTAGTGCGACATAATATTGTAAATATATTACAATTATACGACAATATCTTATGAATATTGAATGAAGAATTAAATTGCATCATTCATAAAGACCATTTAAGCTCATCTCAGTTAAACCATAATTCTTTCATCCCATCATGAAAATTATTCCTAGTATACCCATCATACCTATCCTTTTGTATAGTTTCCTCATTATTCTTTATTTTCCCTGTGTACATTAATTGTGAAAATACTATACATGTATTGCACCAAGGTGCCAATTGATCATGTATCTTTTATAATCATCATTGCGGAACCTTAAACACTGTTAATACACCATTTTGTATTTTCATTTAGGAATCCTTTCATGTCCATTAAGATATGTTTACGTTTTCCTTTATAACATCCATTCATACTAATTATGCATTGTTGTTCACTATTTATATATATATTTATATCATCCCTTCATATCACTTATGCACCATTCCTATCACAATACATTATAATTCCTTTATTCTTTTACCCAAAGGTATTTAGTCTTTCCTTTAACTTACATATTTGACACTTTTCTGTCAAATGCAAAGCGATTCCATTATTCTTTTACTCAACAGTGTTTAACCGTTAATCCTTTACTCAACAGTGTTTAACCGTTCATCTAACTGGCATAATTGACACCTTTCTGCTAAATGCACAGTTAGGCAATTATTCTTTTACTCAACGGTATTTAACCGTTCATCTTTTACTCAACAGTGTTTAACCGTTCA